AGTCGCCATAAAAATAAGTAGTAAAGTAAAGTAAAAATATCAGAAAAATCTACTTGAGTACAGTAACGAAGTATTTGTACTTCATTACTTCCCATCTCTGGTGTAGAGGCAGCCGCTCTGAGATCAAGCCCAGTTATAGTGGATTAGAAACAGCTGGATTTTAGCTACAGCCTTTGACTAGGCCGTTCCGACCTCAGCTGCCATGCAAAACTGTCCCTTTTAGCCCAGAATATGTTTTATTTAAGGGCTTACTTCTGTATCCCTCAGCATGATGCTGCCACCACCACAAATAGATGGGATGTGGCGTTTAACTACGGTGATGATTTTATAGCTTCAAACCAAGGACATATTTGGAGAATATTAGCTAATCAAACCTTGAAGGCAGCGCTGATAAAAAAAAGAAAAAAAAGGACTTCCAACTGGACTCTTTATGAGCAGCAATAAGCGACCTTCGACCTGCTGCAGAACAACATGGCTGTCGTTAAGTTTCTGCTTCAGGCTTCTTACCTGATAGTACAGCAGCTGCATGGAGTTCACCTGGAGCTCATGTTGTTTCGCTCCCACCCACTAAGAAACACAAAGACAGGCGGATATCAATCAATGGTTTAGTTTCCTGCTTTCTGGGTATCTGTTCAGTTACTCACCACTTGGTAAAGCGAAGTGACAAGAACCCCCAGCGTGGCAAACACCATCCCCAAGAGATTAAAGCGGACATCATAGTAAGAGTTTAGTATCACCCCTAAAGTTATAGGCACCTGGAAGTACAGATTATTACAGTTATTTAAAGAAAAGAGCAAATTCCCACAGGAAAACGGCTGATTTCCCTCACTAGCGTTAGCTTAATCTTCGTGGAGAAGGTCTTCTTGTAGTAAGTGGTCTGGATGAGGATGATGACGGGCGTGGTCATGGCTTTGGCCAGCTGGTATGTTCCTATTGTGTTGTTCTGCAGGGAGAGGTTGGTGAAGGCCACAAACCCACAGAAGCTGAGCGCCAACCACATGATCCTGCGCACCTGGAGGCTCTTCGGAGAGAAGATGTCAATTTTCTGGAAAACGTAGAGTCCCAACCAGGTGACCACAAAATGCACCAGGGTGAGGGTCATGTTGGGGAAGCGGTAGTGGACATAGATCCACTTGTTGATGAAGACGACGCAGATGGAGGAAAACAGGTTGACCAGCAGGCCGGCGATGATGCGCCTGTTGGCTGAAAAACCAAAGAGCTGCCCGGTCATGGTTCCTGATGTTCCCGAGCTCAACTTTTCCCAGGAAGGATTTGATAGGCTCAAAATCACAGACTAGAAACAGAAAAAAAAAGTGAAAAGTTAGTGAGCTGACCCCTAGGGAAGAATAAATAATAAAAAGTGGCATTTTCAAATGTTAAAGAAGAGATAGGAAAACTATTTCCACATTTATGCTAAAGGATGGATGACTGCTACAACATCTGGATGGAAGGGGAACAGGAAACACATTTGATGTAATTCATCTTTCACACATTAAGGTGGTAAATAAAGTCTAAAACTACAAAAATGTTCTGTACTATAAATAAGAAAAAACAAAAACAGGAAGACATTCAAACCAGAGCTTTGCTCCTTAAACACCTCACAGATCAAAGCTCTGGTGTGAATAATGTCTTCCTGGGTTATTTTCTAGCTTTAAGTTAGAGTGGCTCAAGTTATCCTGAGCTGTCTCTTTAGTTGTGCTGCTATAGGCTTAGACTGCTGGAGGACTTGGAGATCACTTTATATAATTCTGCATTCTCAATT